TACGTAATACTACTTTGCCCTGTGCTGACAGCACTCATAATTTCTTTTATATATAATATTAATATTCGTCAACATTTCCAATTAATAACGTGTTATTGTTGAAGATTATGGATTTTTATAGAATTATAATTTGATGCTTTCAATCATTAGCCGAATAACTTCCATTATTAAAACTTATTGGCATATTTTAAATTTTTGGCATATTATTCCTGAACTGGGAAATAAAGTGTGCGCTTGAGTATTTGTCAAAAAGAATAAGTAATCTCAGAGCATATTATATCAGTCCAACGACAGGATAGTCCGGCCGTGTAGTGGCCCTGCAGATGATGATGTATTGCTACTTGATGGAGCAACTTCGGTTTAGTAGTAATTTATCGGAACCACCTGTGGTGTACTGATGAGATGTAATAAGTTTGAAATCATGGACCCAATCTGGAGGTTTTGATAAATGTTTGGGCGATAACTTAATGTTCATTATTTGGCAATTTCCTTGTTTTTCTTTGTAATGTTCGTGATTTTTGGTTTCATATTTTCTATGTTTATTTTTCTTATTATTTTCTGCAATGACTTTAAGTGTCAAAGAAATGTATTAAAAGTTTCGTGAATTATGTTAAAGTTCAATAGGTAAGTTCAAGCAGTACTTATTTTAGAATTAAAGCAGTAGCTATTTCCGACTTTTCATGTGTAAATATAAATAACTCATTTACCTGTACAGTTGACCCAAATTGTAGTGAGCGTTAATGTGATCCGATGAATAGTGTATGGCAGAAAGGAAATGACTTTCTGCTTCTGATTCGTTAGCCAGCAAAGTTCCTAAATTATTATACGCACTCGCATATGTTGGCCACAACCTGAAACAATTGTCACTATAAATATATGCTCGTTATCGAAATTCAGTGGCGTACACTTGTTAGAAAAAAAAATGAACTATATCTTTTGTTCGTTTTAAAAATAAAGCCATTTAAATACTGATAAATTTATGAAGGATATAAATCTGATATAGTAATGGCATGTCAAGAACCGAATTGTAAGTTTATCATTATCATAAGGTCGTCAGTCCTAAGACTGGTTGGACATGCACCTGCACTCTTTCCTATCCTAAGCTAATCTTCACATCTCCCTAAAACTAGAACAACCCACATCCTTAACTATATGCGAACAGTAATTTAATTTGGGTCTACCTCTACCCTTCCTAACTCCCGTTTCTGCCTCTAATATGTCCCTAATTAGACCTTTATGCTTGAGAAGGTGTCCTACTAACCTATCTCGCTTATCTTTATTGACTTCCATAGAGTCTTCTGTTGTCCTATTTTTTCTATTACCTCTTCATTTCAAACCTCTATCCACGGTATCTTCATCATTCGTCTGTAACATCACATTTCGAACGCTTCTAACCTTTTCTTTTCCGTCGCGCCCACTGTTCATGNCTCTTGTCCCTTAAAAGCAACTAAATCGTTTAATTCTTTACGAAGATCGCTGTGAAATTCTTAACAGAAATATTACAAGTTAATTTTTGTCACTTAAATACCCACACTGATAGTTTAGTAATTTAATATTTTGATTGTCAGTGTCAGTTATTGAATATTATTGTTATTCATAATGGAAAATGAAAATATGTATTTAAACTGAAAAGAACTTTAAGAAATCAATTGTAATACTGTATTAACAGAAAACAATAGTAAAATAACAAGTAAACAATAAATAACATTAAACAATTAACGATATCAGGTGATAATTAGTTAATGTATTCGTTTAATGGCTCGAGCTACTATAGATAAGACACCGGAAGGGTAAAAAATTGTTTAATGCAAAATGGGAGGCATATCGAACGATTAAACTAATATATTTAATTATTATCAGCTGATATTGTTAATTAATTATTTTATTTATTGTTTATTTGTTGTTTTTACTATTGTTGTCTGCAGTCTACTGTATTGCAATTGATTTCTTAAATTTTTCTTAATTTGAATACGAATCATTATTTTCCATTTTTAATAACAATAGTATTCAATAATTGACACTGATTCATCATCATCATCAGGTCATCAGTCCTAACACTGGTTGGACATGCACCTCCACTCTTTCCTAAGCTAATTTTCGCATTTCCCCAAAACTACAACAACCCATATCTTTAATTGTTAGCGAACAGTAATCTAATCTAGGTCTCCTTCCAAGGCTCTCCTGTTTCTGCTTCTAATGTGTCTGACTAGTCCTTCTTGCCTGAGATAATGTCTTACCAACCTATTTCGCCTATTTCTTATTGACTTTCATAGAGTCCTATGTTCTCCTACTCTTTCTAGTACCTCTTCATTTCTAGCTTTCTCTCTCCACAGTATCCTCATCATTCGCCTGCTACACCACATTTCGAACACTTCTAACACTAAGTGACAATAATTAAAATTATAGGAGATATATATAGGAAACCATAGTACCATACGAAAGAGAATAAAATTCTGCATATGTCTGTGGGAATACATACAGGGTGTTCCATTTGAAGAAATGGACTTACAATTGTTTGAGATTAACCAAATTCGCCATTAATTATCTAACACCCTGTAAATAATAAACTCACTTTTAAAGTACGGACGGAAAGCTTGCGGGTATAGCTACCTCTCCTGTGAATATTGCTGGTCCGGCTTTCTTACTGTAAAATAGTCATGCCGTTTCGCTACCTACTGCTTTAAAATAAATTAATATTTCGAAAACAGTAAATTTTAGAAGTAGGAAAGCCTTATGAAAGTCTAACTAGAATCGCAAGTAGAATTTAAAAGCTCATAGTATATAGGGTGTCCCATTTAAAATGACGAAGTTGTTGTCAACTTCCGGTATAACCGGATACTGTTATTTAAATTGAAGAGAGCATGCCCAATTACGTTTTTGAACAAATTTTCAAATTTGAAATCATAATTTTCGAAATATTCTAATGTTCTAGTGAAGGTTACAAAAGATGCAATATTGTATATTAACTATGCAGATCAAAAAGATGTTTTAAGGTCCACATTCCCATAAATAAAATAGCATGACAAAAGTGTTGTTGTGTTATTTCTGCTGTAACCTCATACGTCATCTAAACTAATTTAAAACGTTAATTGAAGAAATCTTAAACTTGATTGCTGAGAATTGGAAGGTTACGTAGGAAAAGTCAACATTCGCTAAGTTTTCATTTTAAAATTGATTTCAGACGACGTTAAAAATTGACCCATTGATAATTAAATTTGAGTACAGTTCACACGCGATAGTGTGAACATTGTATTATAAAAGCATGGCAAAATGAGAATAGCATATTAATTATATTAGGCCACCGTATACCGTGAACAAACTAACATTTTCTTATGGAAACGGAGGTTTATTATCTTTAGAAATTGAAATTACGCCGTCGCTGTTACGCCAATTTTGTAAACTGCTGGTATATTATGTGCTTGTTAAGGTACATTAGCTGGAAATATGCTGCTTTATTCGCGTACATATGTAGTTCGTTGTTGATGGTTATGTTATCTGATGGGTTCTGCAAATCTTGAACCGTTGATATGGGGACATCCATTAATTACGTGAGGTGTCTTTTTAAAAATTTAGGCTTCCTCCCCATTAGTGAGATTTGGTGAGATTTTGTCGGATCCCTTCTGACTTTACGAAATTAATGGACCATCCCTTAGAAATGCCTCTAGACCTTTAAATGTAGTAACCCAGTTAGCAGCAGAGAGTGACGTTTATATTGACGATTAACCTGATGGAAAAGAACCTATTATGCAAACAATAAAATATCCACAGAAACAAACAAACGCTTACGATTTCTTCAGCAAAAATAGCATTTCATTACTTCTGAGTGCATGTCATTGTTGCTTTGATTTGAAGAGTACCGATGTATGCATTAGGGTTTTATATTTGTATGTATCATTTTACTATCTTATTTTATAAAAATCACGTGTCACTATATTGGTACACGCTAATCTCCGAAACCACTTAACCGGCTTCATTGAAATTTTATGTATTTTATTGAAGGATAAGATAGTTTTGGACCCGATAGATTATTGAGGAATATTAAATTTAATTTGTATAAGGAAAAATTGTGGTAATTTACATTTAATTTTTTCTTGTCAATTGTTGCTAGTTTTTTATAGAAAAAGTATTTTAGTTAGAGCTAGAATTCTGATAAGACAGGAAACTTTTAAGGTGAACTTGAGTTTTGGTAGAGTTTATTTAAGCAACAAAGATAATGTAGAACAATAAACCTTAAATAGAACAAAAGACACATAAAAACATAAAAGTAGGGATGTTACAGCACGCTGCCTATATTTTAAAGAAGGGTGTTTCCATTTAAAGAAGGCTGTTGCCCTGTTACACCTTAGCTTAGCTATGACTGCAGTACTACGCCGCCTGGTGCTATTGTTTTCCACTTTCTCCTCTAGGAATAAAAATGGATTCAAAGGATTTAATTTTCTATCGCTAGCTTACCAATATGGAGTTGGTGATCCTTCTATATTTATATATTCGGTTAATGTATTTTTATCAGTGTTATGGTCTAGTTTCGATTTCATATTTATATTATATAACAGATAGAAAAAGACATTTTACAAATAAAACCTAAAACTGCGAAAACTACAAATCGAATCTACAAATGAAGCTTCGATCGACCAGAACCAAAGAATTTAGTATAACATACATCCCAACAATACTAAGAATCTAATCAAAGAAAAAGGCGGAGCCAGGAAGAAGTATCTTCAAACATACGACCCACAAGATAAAGGAAACTTACACTCACAAATGAAGTAAAATCACGACTGAACGAAATTCACAACTGAAAATGGAGCGAAAAACTCGATAAAATGGAAAACTCTTATGAAACCCTTTACTCTCTCGCAAACAGTTTCAAAAAGAAAAATAACGAGATCAAACCACCCTAAATTGACGACACCACCACTGCAATTACTAACTACGAAAAAGCGAAACTTCTAGCAGAACACTTAGAAAATGAGTTCGAATCAATCATCAATCATATAACTTAACAGACGCTAAGCAATAATACAACCGACAACAACTCCACACAGAAACCACCGACAAAAAATATTCCTAAATCACCAATTTGATTTTAGAATAGGACAGACAGCTAGCCGACACTGAACCATGCTCGGATATCTGTAACAATTTTGACAACTTGGTACCACCGAAACTCGAACCATCAACCGCTATCCATTCAATTTCACCAACAACATATCAACAAACAACCAATCGTCACCGCCTAGTCGTCGCCTTCTGCATGTCCTTCAGACTCATAAAAATAAAAAGGCAACGTAAAGGTAGTCCAACAGCAAGACCAACACGCTCTCATCGAGCTATGGAAGCACCTACACCCTTTAAGATAATTATCTATATTCACCAACTAAGAGCACAATACGTTAAAGTATTATTTGCGAATACTAACGCACACTTCTTGCCGGATTCTTAGGTATCGATATTACGATCAACGCCATTTCAATGATAATGACCATAGTAGGTGAAATAGGTATTCCCTCGTTTTGGGGATCTGGGAACCATCATTAACGATAACGGCACGTAATTCCTAATAAAATACTAATGGAAGGTCTGCTGTCAGCAGTGACAGTTGGAGCTTTGGACTATATCTGCATACCAAATATGTGCAACTAAGACTTAAAACATTTTACTTGGTTAGGCGATACATAAGATCTTGGGCCAGTTCCTTTCGATTATGACGTTTACAATCCCCAAACGCTTTAACACAGTCATCGTACGATCTCCGCTGGATTTGCTTTTGGGATATAATCTGCCACTGCCTGGAACATGGGACCAATTAAGACAGCATCTATCAACCGATGTCGGGCAAATTCTAAAAACC